CTGGAAATTGACATTATGCATTGTAGCCACAACCTAGATGGAGCTGATCTTGATATGCCACCCACCAGAGGTCATTCACATCGACCTCTCTTTCTGACTGAGGCAGGAAACTGGAGCCTTCCACCGATACCACGCCACGACCAACAAATGGCATTGTCTACATAGCACCCAATACTAGGGGAGTTGAAATGCAGACTCAAAGATGGCACTGAAATCGCCCCTCCACACTCCGACGATATTATATTGGTGGGCAAAGTTCCCACAGACCTAAAGTGACTGATCTGGGAGCCACCTCAAGATTCCTATCAGAAAAGGAAATCAAACTATCAGATCCTCTAATCGATTCCGACCAAATAGGGGATATCGGAATTCTTATAGGAGCTGACTACTATCTCCAATCCATTTTGGGATCAGAGAATTCCATTGGTATGAATTTATTTAAATCAGCAGACGGTATATTGATGTCAGGATCTGTAATAGATTTGAAATATTCCACTCCTGAAAAATCGTACCATGCTGAAACTGTAATGGTAGTCTGACTGGGCAAAGAACAGTCACCACTACCAATCCCCCACACAATTGATGATGGATTAAAATCTGTACATAAATATGGGAACTTGAAGTAATTGGAATCATTCCTGAATAACCAAGCCCATATGGTATTTGTACCTACAACCAGTACTTAAAAACTATACAGTACCATGATGGGAAATATTGGATAAGATTACCTTGGAAACTTAACCATAAAACCTCAACAACCAACAATAATGTGGCTTATAGTCAGTTTAAATCACTGTTGGCAAAGCTAAGAAAAAAAAGCCAGAGCATTTAAAATTCAACCATGAGATAATTGCTCAGCAGCTACAACATAAATTTATTAAAGTCATGAAACAATATGACAATAATCAAAAAGGCCATTTTTTTTTTTACCACATATGGCTGTAATCAGAGAATCAAAAACTATGCCTTTACGGAAAGTTTTTAATTATAGCTCTAAATCTGGACTCCAAGCAACATGATTGGACCCCAAGTTTAAATGATGGCCTTCAAACAGGTCCAACCCTAACTCAGAAGTTGTATGACACATTACTGGAGTTTAGACTTAACAAATATGCATATACAGCTGATATAAGCAAAGCTTCTCTAAGTGTTGGTTTACAAGGAGAAGATAGAGACTTCACTAAGTTTTTATGGGTAGAGAATCCAGATGAAAATAATAGTCCAGTATTAACTTATAGATTCTCTTCTGTCCTATTTGGAGCAACATCCAGCCTTTTCCTGTTACAAGCAACTCTAGATACTCGTCTACAAAAATCATCCAGTCCCTATAAGACTTAAATCAGTCAAAATCTATATGTAGATAATTTACTAGAGACAGTTAACAGTATCACTGAACTTTTACCAATATATCAAAAGGCAAACAAAGAACTGCAAAGAGTCAAGATATTAGTGAGACTACCTCTCACTATAAGAGACTATAGTGAGATATTATTAAAGACTACCTTGCAGGTAACTATCCAGAGTCTTTGTACCTAGCTAATTCCTCTGATGTTAATGAGGTAATCCTTTCCCTTAAACTAAGTCAAGCGCCCATGACGAGATACCATCTCTAATTTACAAAAAAGCCTCCAGATTTCTAGCTCCTGCCATTGCATTGCTCTTTAACAAATCACTTCAACTCCAAACCCTTCCGGATATTTAAAAAAAAAGCTAGAGTAACTCCTGTCCGCAAATGTGGTGATCTCACTGATGTCAACAATTACAGACCTATATCAATTCTGTCAACCTTGTCAAAAATATTTGAAAAGCTAATCTACAAGCAGCTTTACTCATATCTAGCCAAACTCAATATACTTAGCTCTTGTCAATATGGCTTCAGACCCAATAAAAGCACTAACGATGCACTTATTAGTATGATTCACTTGATACATACAGCTCTTGATAAAAATGAGTTCCCTGTTGGGTTATTTGTGGACCTACGTAAGACACTGTCAACCACAAAATCCTTCTTCTTAAATTACATCATTATGGAGTCAGAGGTCACTCGCTGCAATACCTTCAGTGTAACCTTACTGACAGGCTCCAGTATGTTTCTGTGAATAATTAAATTTCTCCTGTACTACCCATAAACATTGGTGTTCCACAGGGCAGCATACTTGGCCCTCTCCTCTTTCTTATCTACATTAATGATCTTCCAAATGCCTCTCAACACCTCAAACCAATCTTATTTGCTGATGACACAACTTTCATTTTCTCCAGTCCTGACCCGCTTGCTCTAAATGTCACTGTGAATACTGAAGTAAATAAAGTTCATCTTTGGGTAACTACTAACAAACTCACTCTTAACACTGACAAAACTTTCTATATTTTATTTGGTAATAAATCCTCAAATGAAATTAATCTAAGAATAAACAATATGCAAATCAGCAGCAAAGTTGATGGTAAATTCCTTGGTGTTCTCATCGACCATCAGCTGAATTTTCAGGGACACATTCTAAATATAGCAAAACAAGTTTCTAAAACTGTTGGCATTCTTTCTAAGATCAGATATTATATACCTCGCCCTGCCCTGGTGACGCTCTATTACTCTCTCATCTATCCTTATTTCAACTATGGTATTTGTGCTTGGGGTTCTACTACCCAAAATCATTTACGTCCTTTAATTACCCAACACAAAGCTTCTATTAGAACAATATCTAACTCTGGCCCCAGACAGCACTCGGTACCCTTACTCAAATATCTGAATATGTTAGATATTAAGTTACTGCACATTCTCTCATGCGTACTCTATATTTATTTATTTATTTATTTATTTATTTATTTATATACAAGAAGGTACATTGGGTTTGTGAGAATACATAGCATATTATTTGCAATCTTGTAAAGCCACTAGTATGCGCAGCATTTCGGGTAGGTCCTTAATCTAACAGGTCCTTAATCCTGACTTTAAAAGCTTCTTAGAAAGTTGTAACAGAACCCATGGGCACCACACCAGAAACAAATACATATTTGATATTCCAAGAGTACGACTTAATCAAACTAGAAACGCTCTACAAATCAAGGGTCCCAGAATGTGGAATGACCTTCCCAATCATATCAAAGGCTGTACCTCTCTCAACCAATTTAAGAAAATTAAGTACTACCTAATTAACTCCATGTAACTTACCTTACCCCTAAATGTCAACCCATGTCTTACTATTTTTAAACAATGCTGTTTGTTGACCAACTTGTATATTGGTTATTTTCTACCATGTTCCCCCCGCCCACCTCCTTTTTTCTCTTTCTTTCAACACAATTTATACTTTAAGCTCAATTACTATTAAGGTTTAGTCTAAGTGTTTTTTCCCCACCTCACCTTGTCCAAAACGCAAAGCATACTAGTGGCTTTGGGTATTATATGTACTAGCTCTATCTATAAATCCAACATTATGTTTGTAAATCAACTATGTATGTACTTTCCTGAATAAAATTTACTTTATTTTACTATTGTATGGCAGACCTCTGACTCCAGTGCCATCTCTAGTGGAGGATGAGATCAAAGATCCCTCATTTGTGGGTCAGAGTTCGTTTGTTCAGGGGTATAAGTATCTGTTTAGTATAATCCAAAAATGGAATGATGTATGAACAAAATAATATCTCACATCTCTACGAGAACATCACTATGGGGCCAATATTCCTCATAATAAATCTAATCTCCAGCCTGGTGACTTTGTCTTGGTAGACTGTGACGGTCCAAGAGCTGAATGCCCATTGGGTAAAGTCGTCTCTGTCTATCCAGATAACCAGGGGATTTTAAGAATATTCAAAATCCTCTTTACCGGAACTACTTCCTTGAAGTTATTGGACAAATTAATCCATATGGAGTCAGGGAGTCAGTTAGATCCTGGAAGACCCCACAGAATCTCTAACTCCAAATGACCCACAGACACCAAACAGGCACACACGTCCATAACAGACAACCGCAAAAAAGTGCAAACAGAAATTGCTCATGTATTATTAATTTGATGGAGAGTAAATTAACATTTACTGTAGATCATAAATATTGAACTCTGTGCCAATTCTTTCACTCTGGTAGATGTGGAAATTTTCACTCGCTACATGAAAATTATAATCTAAAAGTTATTATTTCAATAAAATATTTATATTTGACATCAGAATCATATCAGACTCATTATCTTGTATCATCCATCAACTAGATCCTGCATGACACTGCCACAATGTTGACATCCTCCATTGGGCCCATTAATGCCTACGTGACTTTGTATATGTAATCTTAAGAATCTAGACACTTTGAGAAAAATTATCTTAGTTAATAAACTATTGGAAGATCAATTGACTTCCGGTAATAATTCATTCAAATCTGTTACAAGGAATCAATTAGTACTACCCATAATTATTAAATCCACTATATATTTGTCTTATAATCCCACTTTATCTCAAATTAATTGTCTAGACAAGAACTAAATAATTTATATATCATGGCCAGTCAGCCGCCAACAGAGAGCCTGGTGGCGGTGGCTGGGACGACAAGCGCCCGAGAGCCTTGTTTACATCCGAGCGGTGTGTACGTGTGATGTACTTGAGAACATTTTCAACAGACAATCCCGCACAAACAACTTTTAAATCACCAGTGATGAACTCTAAGATACTCAGAGAGTTCCTGAACTATAATCTAATCTAGAAATCAACTATCTTATTATAAAAAATACAGTGCCTAATCAATTCAAGGGAGATCATACAGTCTGACAACTTATTTAGGTGGCCTGTAGGCCTTCAATTTTCTTGATTAGTATCTATTGTACTTATCATGTAGCAGTTGTATGGCTTGGTCATAATCATCATCTGTTAATAACCATCTGGCTTGGTCATCATCATCATCATCTGTGTCTATGATGTGTCCACCATCTGTGTCTATGATGTGTCCACCACCTGTGTCCACCACCTGAACAAACTGAGAAAGGTACACAGTGTTAAGAGTGGTCTTGTGTCTCACTCCACAGGTCCAGGCAACATCTGCTACACCCAGGAAGACATTGGGTGTATGCGGAAATTCTCAGGTAAGTCTCAGGCTCAGGTGTATTTGGGGAGTATTGAATACCGTATTGCATGTATTGTACTGTGTTTATGTTCAGTACCGTGATGGCTGTATCTTGCTGGTCCTGTGTATGTTGGTTTGTTTTTATTGGTTTGCTGAAGTGGTTTTAAACCGTTTACACACTAGAGCAACCTTGGAACATATACACACTAGAGCAACCTTGGAACATATACACACTAGAGCAACCCTGGAACATATACACACTAGAGCAACCCTGGAACATATACACACTAGAGCAACCTTGGAACATATACACACTAGAGCAACCTTGGAACATATACACACTAGAGCAACCTTGGAACATATACACACTAGAGCAACCTTGGAACATATACACACTAGAGCAACCCTGGAACATATACACACTAGAGCACCCTTGGAACATATACACACTAGAGCACCCTAGGAACATATTCACACTAGAGCAACCCTGGAACATATACACACTAGAGTAACCTTGGAACATATACACACTAGAGCAACCTTGGAACATATACACACTAGAGCACCCTTGGAACATATACACACTAGAGCAACCTTGGAACATATACACACTAGAGCAACCTTGGAACATATACACACTAGAGCAACCTAGGAACATATTCACACTAGAGCAACCCTGGAACATATACACACTAGAGCAACCCTGGAACATATACACGCTAGAGCAACCCTGCAACATATACACACTAGAGCAACCCTGGAACATATACACACTAGAGCAACCCTGGAACATATACACACTAGAGCAACCCTGGAACATATACACACTAGAGCAACCCTGGAACATATACACACTAGAGCAACCCTGGAACATATACACACTATACAATGTGGCAATGTACACTAACATAGATGGGATTACAAATACAACAAGTGAACTCGGAGAATGGGCACTAGAAGAAAACCCAGACATAATAGCACTCACAGAAACAAAGCTAATGAAAACCATAACAAACACAGTTAAGGCAGTGGCTGGGATGATCCCGGATGCTGGTTCGAATCCTCGTCACGGCCCTTGTGGATTTGTTCACAAACACAGGGTTTCCACAGGGCTACTATGTAGTGAGGAAAGAGAGAGAAGGGAGAGGAGGAGGTGGTGTAGCTTTGCTGATAAGAAAAGGTTGGAGTTTTGTAGAGATGGTAAATCAGAACTGTGAAAGTTTCAGTGACTACATATCAGGCACCATAGTAACTGGAGGACAGAAAATTATAGTAGTAGTCATATATAACCCCCTACCGAACGACAGAAGACTCAGACAGGAATATGATAGAAACAATATGGTCACCATCAATATAATAGATAGAGCAGCTTCTGTGGCTAGCAGGAACGGATCCAGACTACTAATCATGAGAGACTTCAACCATGGGAAGATAGATTGGGGGAACAGAGACGAACATGGAGGACCAGACACATGGAGAGCTAAGCTGCTGGATGTGGCAACAAGAAACTTTCTAAGTCAACACGTCAAGGGACCGACACGAATGAGAGGAGGGGATGAACCAGCCTTGCTTGATCTGATATTTACCCTAAATGAGTCGGATATAAGGGAAGTTAAGTTGGAAGCCCCTCTGGGAATGAGTGATCACAGTGTATTGAGCTTTGAGTACCTGGTTGAGCTAGGAATTATCTCCCCCCCCAAAAAGAACTGGGAAACAAAGGGCTGGCGTACCGAAAGGGAAACTATGAGGAGATGAATAAACTCCTAAGGGATATACAATGGGACACAGAACTCAGAACCAAGTCCGTGCAAGACATGATGGACTATGTCACCCAAAAGTGTCAGGAGGCTGTAAGCAGGTTTGTCCCGGCCCGACAGGAAAAAACAGAGAAGCAAAAGAAAAATCCATGGTTTACTAGGGAATGTATGGAAGCAAAGGAGCTGAACAAAAGGGCATGGAGAAACTTCCGTAATAACAGAACACCTGAGTGTAGAGAGAGATACCAGAGAACCAGGAATGAGTATGTTAGTGTGAGAAGAGCAGCTGAGAAAAGGTATGAAAATGATATAGCTAACAAAGCCAAGACCGAACCAAAACTACTACACAGTCACATCAGGAGGAAGACAACAGTGAAGGAACAAGTGATGAAACTTAGGGGGGGGGAGGACAGGTACACAGAGAATGACAAAGAGGTGTGTGAAGAACTCAACAAAAGGTTCCAAGAGGTCTTTACAATAGAATAGGGAGAAGTCACGGCGCTAGGAGAGGTGGCAGGCGACCTTGGAAAGGTTCGAAATTACAAGAGATGAGGTCAAGAAGCACCTATTGGAGCTGGACGTGAGAAAAGCTGTTGGGACGGACGGAATCTCACCATGGGTATTGAAAGAGTGTGCAGGAGCACTTTGTTTGCCACTCTCCATAGTGTATAGTAAGTCACTGGAGATGGGAGACCTACCAGAAATATGGAAGACAGCTAATGTAGTCCCAATATACAAAAAGGGTGACAGACAAGAGGCACTGAACTACAGCCCAGTGTCCTTAACTTTTATACCATGCAAGGTGATGGAGAAGATTGTGAGAAAAACCTTTTAACACATCTGGAGAGAAGAGACTTCGTAACAACCCATCAACATGGGTTCAGGAAGGGCAAATCTTGCCTTACAAGCTTAATAGAATTCTACAATCAGGTGACAAAGATTTAGCAAGAAAGAGAAGGATGGGCGGACTGCATTTTTTTTTAGACTGTCGGAAAACCTTTGACACAGTACCCCATAAAAGGCTGATGCATAAGCTGGAGAAACAGGCAGGAGTAACTGGTAGGGCGCTCCAGTGGATAAGGGAGTACCTAAGCAATAGGAAGCAGAGAGTTACGGTGAGGGGTGAGACCTCAGATTGGCGTGAAGTCACCAGTGGAGTCCCACAGGGCTCTGTACTCGGACCTATCCTGTTTCTGATATACGTAAATGATCTCCCAGAGAATATAGACTCATTCCTCTCAATGTTTGCTGACGACGCCAAAATTATGAGAAGGATTAAGACAGAGGAGGACAGCTTGAGGCTTCAAGAAGACCTGGACAAGCTGCAGGAATGGTCGAACAAATGGTTGTTAGAGTTTAACCCAAGGAAATGTAATGTAATGAAGATAAGGGTAGGAAGCAGGAGACCAGATACAAGGTATCATTTGGGAGACGAAATACTTCAAGAGTTACAGAGAGAGAAAGACCTGGGGTTGATATCACACCAGACCTGTCCCCTGAAGCTCATATCAAGAGGATAACATCAGCGGCATATGCCAGGTTGGCTAACATAAGAACGGCATTTAGAAACTTGTGTGAGGAATCTTTCAGAACATTGTATACCACATATGTCAGACCAATCCTGGAGTATGCGGCTCCAGCATGGAGTCCATATCTAGTCAAGCATAAGACTAAACTGGAAAAGGTTCAAAGGTTTGCCACCAGACTAGTACCTGAGCTGAGAGGTTTGAGCTACGAGGAGAGACTACGGGAATTAAACCTCACTTCGTTGGAAGACAGAAGAGTTAGGGGGGACATGATCACCATATTCAAGATTCTCAAGGGAATCGACAGGGTAGATAAAGACAGGCTATTTAACACAAGGGGCACACGCACTAGGGGACACAGGTGGAAACTGAGTGCCCAAATGAGCCACAGAGATATTAGAAAGAGCTTTTTTAGTGTCAGAGTGGTTGACAAATGGAATGCATTAGGAAGTGATATGGTGGAGGCTGACTCCATACATAGTTTCAAGTGTAGATATGATAGAGCCCAATAGGCTCAGGCACCTGTCCGCCTGTTGATTGACAGTTGAGAGGCGGGACCAAAGAGCCAGAGCTCAACCCCCGCAAGCACAATTAGGTGAGTACAGCTAGGTGAGTACACTAGAGCAACCATGGAACATATACACACTAGAGCAACCTTGGAACATATACACACTAGAGCAACCCTGGAACATATACACACTAGGGCAGCCTTGGAACATATACACACTAGAGCAACCCTGGAACATATACACACTAGAGCAACCCTGGAACATATACACACTAGAGCAACCCTGGAACATATACACACTAGAGCAACCCTGGAACATATACACACTAGAGCAACCCTGGAACATATACACACTATAGCAACCCTGGAACATATACACACTAGAGCAACCCTGGAACATATACACACTATAGCAACCCTGGAACATATACACACTAGAGCAACCCTGGAACATATACACACTAGAGCAACCCTAGGACATACACACTAGAGCAACCCTGGAACATATACACACTAGAGCAACCCTGGAACATATACACACTAGAGCAACCCTGGAACATATACACACTAGAGCAACCCTGGAACATATACACACTAGAGCAACCCTGGTACATATACACACTAGAGCAACCCTGGAACATATACACACTAGAGCAACCCTGGGACATATACACACTAGAGCAACCCTGGAACATATACACACTAGAGCAACCCTAGGACATACACACTAGAGCAACCCTGGAACATATACACACTAGAGCAACCCTGGAACATATACACACTAGAGCAACCCCGGAACATATACACACTAGAGCAACACCGGAACATATACACACTAGAGCAACACCGGAACATATACACACTAGAGCAACCCCGGAACATATACACACTAGAGCAACCCTGGAACATATACACACTAGAGCAACCCTGGAACATATACACACTAGAGCAACCCTGGAACATATACACACTAGAGCAACCCTGGAACATATACACACTAGAGCAACCATGGAACATATACACACTAGAGCAACCCTAGGACATACACACTAGAGCAACCCTGGAACATATACACACTAGAGCAACCCTAGGACATACACACTAGAGCAACCCTGGAACATATACACACTAGAGCAACCCTAGGACATATACACACTAGAGCAACCCTGGAACATATACACACTAGAGCAACCCTAGGACATATACACACTAGAGCAACCCTGGAACATATACACACTAGAGCAACCCTAGGACATATACACACTAGAGCAACCCTGGAACATATACACACTAGAGCAACCCTGGGACATATACACACTAGAGCAACCCTGGAACATATACACACTAGAGCAACCCTGGAACATATACACACTAGAGCAACCATGGAACATATACACACTAGAGCAACCATGGAACATATACACACTAGAGCAACCCTGGGACATATACATGCTAGAGCAACCCTGGGACATATACACACACAGTTACACAGGAAATAGAACAGTGCAAGAAAGATATGCAACTCACCTATGCACAAGTGCCCAAGGAGAAGGAAAAAATGGAAGAAGCAGTAAAGAAGTCAAACACTGCAGCAACTAAGATAAAACAAACATTAGGCTTTAAGTGAGAAAAGAATTGGCATCTAACCCGAAGTTGGTGCAAAACACAGTTGATCGGAGTAAGTCCCTGATAATTTTTGGCTGCAAAGAAATGGAGATAACATCTAGGTCAGAAAGAGCTGTAGAAGAAGCAAAAGTAGTAGATAATATTGTTGGCCTCGTGGAAGGTCTTACAACCATAGAGAATGTGTGCGACTACAGGAGAATAGGCAGATATGTAAAAGGGAAAGATCGACCTTTTGAGGATCACCCTAAATGGTGCCAAACAGATGGAAGAAGTACTAAGAAATGCTAGAAAATTACAAAGTGATGAGGATGGGAAAGTGTGGTCGTGAAGACGAGATCTTTCAAAAGAAGATAGAGAGAAGCTGAAACTGAACCTCGCCGAGGCAAAACGTTTAAATGAGAGCAGGAATGAAGAAGAAATCAATTCTTTTTTCTACAAAGTGATAGGGGTAGGCAGACCAGTAAAGTGGTACATAAAGGCAAACCAACAAAAACATTAGAGAAAGGGGAAGTGAAAAATAAGAAGAGGGGGAACAAGTTCCTGAAGATTGCATACACCAACATAGATGGAGTAAGATGGAAGATACTGGAGTTAAGTGATGTAATACAGCTGCAGACACCAGACATTGTTGCACTCACGGAGACAAAACTTGAAGATGTTACTTTAAATGAGGTCATATTCCCAAGGGACTACTCAATTTGGAGACGGGACAGAAAAATTAGGAAAGGCGGTGGCGTTGCTGTGCTGGTGAAAGAACACCTAAAGGTGAACGAAATAGTGGCTGCCAATCCACAAGAAGTTGACATAATAGCACTAGAGATCTGCCATGAGGATGATAAACTAATGATCATAAATGCATATAGTCCACCGCCAAGCAGCACATGGTCAAAGGAGGAGCTAGATAGTAAACGAGAAGGTCTTATAACAATAATGAGAGAGACCATAGCGAGAGCGGATAACGATAGATCACGACTGTTGATAGTCGGCGACTTCAACTTGAAATCCATAAACTGGGAAGCATATGAAGCTAAAACAGAAGATTTTTGGACCTGTAAATTTGTAGACCTCATCCTGGAAACATTCTTGTATCAACATGTTAAACAAGCTACGAGGATGAGGGAAGGGGACGTTCCCTCCATGCTAGATTTGATATTTACCAGGAAGGAGGAAGAAATATTTGACATTCAGTACCTTCCTTCCTTGGGTAAAAGTGACCATGTCTTTTTGGGAATAAAGTATGCAATGCGTTATAGTCTGGAAGAAAATATGAAGTTTGATGCAATTGAAAAACCTGACTTTAGGAGAGGACATTATGGCAACCTTAGATTTTTTTTTAGTGAGTATAATTGGACAGACTTGTTGCTAGGCAAGGAAGTGATGATTGACATCAGATGAATTATGGCATCAGATCAATTATGACATTAGATGAATTTTAACACCAAATCAATTATGACTGACGTCTTCTTTACACTGATCAAAATCTCCAGTAACTACCAGAGTATTTAGTAGTTATTGGAGATGTGTACATTCCATTTACAATAATATACAGTTACAATAGTGTACACTCTTTGTGTACACTATTGTTAGCCGTCTCTGTGGGGGTAGTCCTCGCCTTGTGCTCACTGAGTATCACATCACATCAATATGTGTTGATGTTTAAATGTTCCTGGTCGTTAGAGTCTAAAATTGCCTTTGAAACAATTAGTTCGGGTCTTCATCAAATTGATATAAATTTGACAAATCTTGTATAATGTTTTATTTCCTTAAAGGAACGATTATAGTTTCTTGATGACAGTTTGCGAGTAGCAACATGTTTGGAGCGGTTTCAATGAAACACAAGACAACTCGAAGTGGCAAGACACTCGCCCCGCGCTTAGCAAGTGATTTGGCCTGGGTTCGTATCCTGGCCGGGGAAGGATTGACTGGGCGCCAGTCTTTAACAGTATACCTCTGTTCACCCAGTAGTTAATGGGTACCTGGTTGTTAAATGATTTGGCGGGTTGTATTCTGAGGAAAATTAAGATTAAGGACCTGCCCGAAACGCTATGAATGCTAATAACTTTACAAGAATGTAAGAACTCTTGTATACATAAATCAAATAAATAAAAATGAACATTGTTTAATGCATATACTGACTCAAGTAACATGGGTTACTTGAATTGACTCACGTTTCGTGTCGGTCAAAAATGTATCGTCTTTGAGATAGACGCATGAAACGTCTAACTAACCGCTATTCGGTTCCCGCAGGAATAACTTTACTTAACACTCACCACAACCAGTCAATACCTGCCTAGCACACGACGAAACTACAACGTTGCTGCAACATTCGAACAAGTTGTAACAAGGAGGCAACATGGACCATTACGTTGTGTGTTCGTAGGGTCATAGTTCGGCGTCATCAATCACCGCCTGTACTCCTCTGGGACAATTGAGCTTACTGACGCTTGGGTAATTACTCCAACCTGTCCTCCTTCAGACAGCGTCGCTTTTCGCTCGCATGCGTTACATAAGGCTAACAATTGTCGTACTGGAAAATGGAAGCGTACTGTCCCATTTTCTGTTTTGGGTCCTCTGGTAGGTTTGGAGAGGACACTTTAAACTGACTTGTCTAAACGTTGGAAAGCCTTAGGAGGCCGGGCTGGACCACAAAACAAGCTCATTATATCTCAATACCTCGTCAAATGGACAAATAATAATTATGTATAAGTATTACTCAATAATCCACAAAGACACAAAGCAATCACACTGATGTGAGACTTCCTGTGGATTCATTGTAATCCCAGGTTGTTAACTTATACCAAGTCACGGTACAGGGAAGAGGTGCGCTGCTGGGAATTCACTGGTCGTTGGTTCGCATCACCTCACCTCCAACTGAATTTTCTCATTGATTTTAGAAACAAATGTCATTCTAGGACATAGTCTCTCTCTCCTCTCACCACTTCCAGATGATCCTTAAGTTACCTTCATAACTTAGTTACGTCTAAGACTCCGGATGTCCGTATGATATATAGAGTAAATAGTATCTTTTGGTGTAACTTGACGTTTGAAGTTTATGGAGTGATGAATTACGTATTTGGCTTAAATTAATAGACAACTCTCAATCATCTTACTGACTTGTGCAGTGTTCGGTGACGCTCCTAGCCGGTGTTTGCGCACATTGCTTTCTTACACAATAAGCCAATCAGGTGAGGGCATATTTACCGCCTTCCTTTCTGAAGGCTGGTGATTGGCTTGTCCTTTTGACGTATAGGTCGTGATGTCACTGACTTCCGTTGACTGTAAGTGGATGACCGGATCTGTTGATGACCCTCTCACCTCTAAGGTGTAGAATCATAGAGTCTACCTCCTGAAGACGGCTGCCTCTCCTCGTGTGTCTGTTTCGTCATGTTTCGTTACGTAATTGGCTGACCTCTCAATGGGCATATACAGGTCAGTAAGTATTAACCACTCTTGTAGCACTCGACCTTCAGGAAACACACCAGACACTCCTGATATACCAACACTATCATACACTCCTGGGGCCAGATTAACGAAAGCACTTACGCAAGCACTTACGAACCTGTACATCTTTCCTCAATCTTTGACGGCTTTGGTTACATTTATTAAACAGTTTACAAGCATGAAAACTTGCCAATCAACTGTTGTTATTGTTATAAACAGCCTCCTGGTGCTTCAGAGCTCATTAACTGTTTAATAATTGTAAACAAAGCCGTCAAATATTAAGAAAAGATGTACAGGTTCGTAAGTGCTTGCATAAGTGCTTTCGTGAATCTGGCCCCAGGACATTATGCACTCTTAGTGGTTGGACTCAGGGATGGACACACACACACACACACATAGTGTGAGCACAACATGCCATGTTTCACACACTTGTGGAAATGCACTTCCTCGCAATAGATCGCTGGCATGCCGGGGTATACATGCAACAGTGCAACAGCGACCCCTGCTACTCCCGCTGCAACACCACCACCTACCTCGCCTCTCCAAGCTTCGCCTCCCTCACCACTCCCTACATGGAGAAGACCTGGCTTGGCCTCAGGTTCCTCGTCCCCACCATTAAGGCCTTGTGTCGCCGGGAAATTCTCAAACGATCCGATAAGGTCAGTGTGTGTGGGCATTTATATACTTACGTTGACTTGAAGATGATGAGCATAATTACGGGGCTGAAGATATTATTTCGAAGCCGCACCTCAGAAGATGGGGAAAAGACAACGTTTCGGTCCTGGATCAATATCAAGACGTCAGTGTGAGTGATAATGGTTCAAGACGGACCGAAACGTCGTCGCTTCTTCCTTTTCTGATGTGAGGTTTCGTCATCATACGCTGATTTGTCTCCATTGTGCGGTTAATTGTTTTATATCCTTCGATTATCTCTATAAGTTAAAGCAAACGTGAATAGTTAGTTACACCTAGATTGTCTAATGTAACAGATATCTGAGAGTACACATTTGAATACAATATATTGTTAGCATGTACTGGAATGTTGTAACCTTATCCATCCTAACCTAGCTTAACCGAGCCTAACCTAAGCTAATATATCCAAATATATCATTATGAATGGTTTTAACAAAGAAAATGAACTTTGTTGAATCTTTTTTAAGAGCGATTGCACTATACCTGATCCATGGTGCCCATCAGGTCGTGTGTAACTCTTCACGGTCACGCTGCGAGGTATTAGCAGCTAGCCCCTGCAGCCTGAAGACGCCTGAGGATGCAGAACATCTGATGGGCATCCCAGAAATCAGAAATGTCATCATTAACTACTTGGAGTTAGTAAAAGGATGTAATATTATATATGGATTTGGTCATAATTCGGATATATATATTGTGTTTAGGATTAGATAGTGATCATCCTCTTTTCAGGAAACTGTATCATCAAAACGATTCGCAATAACCACTTTATCTTATCACTGCATCTTGTATTGAGGTCAGGACACTGCCTCTCCTCTTGATAGTGCAAATCACTAAAGGAAACTAAGAGTCGTTACTCTCAGGAACATTGCATGAGAACTTGGCAAGTAAGGAAATTGCAGAGAGCCTGTTGACTAATATGAGGCAGTGCCCAGTGACATTCCCTTAAACCCATTTAGATATATGTCTAGCCTAAACTTGAAACAATTCAGTGACCCCTACATCTGTTATGTTACCCGGTAATCTCCCCACAGAAAGAACGCAGCGCTGGTTCATGTATACTTCAAGCGGGCAACCTCCACGCTCTATAAGAGAGACCTCGCTGCTACAACCAGTCAACTTGTTGGTAAGTATGGCACCTCAGTTTATTTTCAGTTACGTAAAAGGTAAGATTAATAATTCTAACACGAATTTTCTCAATATTTCTTATGTTTCTTTTCACTGTCGATGGTAATTGAAAAATCAATTCTCCAAAATTAATTTTTATTTCTAGTCTGGCGCGACGCCTGAACGCGTTTCATAATAACTTATTACATTTTCAAAGACTTTAGTTTACACACACAACTGTAACCTGTAAACACGTTGTGTTGTGGTTTTAGATTTAGCTACTCAGAACGAAGTGTCCATGTAGCACGGGCTATAGTGAGCCCGTAATTGAGTTCGGTTATTCGCGATAATCTTGTTACTGTGATATTTGGGTCTGTTTAAAATGGAGGAGGGGATTTCTCCTTTTTCCCTGTTCATTTATCGCTTCTGTTTTAGTGCACTGGTTTTAGTTTTGTTTTATTAACATTATCTTTGTGGCGGATGAGATGTAAACACGTTAATCCGTCATACTTATACTCGCATTTGGGGGAGGTTATATAGTACAACAGTTTTGGGTGACGTGAACAAACTTGTGACAAACACATGACATAACACGAAACTATGGATATTAATTGGATATGAGAACATAAGAATGGAAGTAACTGCAGAAGGCCTATTGGCCCATACTTCCCCTTGCTGCTTCTATATTGGTTCACAGTCTTGAAGTGGGTAGAATATAGTTGTGCACAACTATATTCGGAGTCTTGAAGTGGGTAATTAATTAACCAGCCAATTAATGCACAACTATATTCTACCCACTTGAAGACTCCGAACCAATATAGAAGCATCAAGAGGAAGTATGGGCCAATAGGCCCTCTGCAGTTACTTCCATTCTTATGCTCTCATATCCAACTAATACCTATTGTTTCGTGTTCTGTCTTTCATTTGTCACAAATTTGTTCACCTCATCCTAAACTGTTGCACCATATCACCTCACCCAAGTGCGAGTATATGTAAGACGGATAAGCTGTTTAGTGTTAGTATAAATAAAACTCTGTTTAGTGTTTTCCGGTTACAGTTGTGCGTGTAAACTAAAGTCTTTGAAAATGTAATAAGTTATTACGAAACGCGTTCAAGTGTCGCGTCAGACTAGAAATAAAAATTAATTTTGGAGAATTGATTTTTCAATTACCATCGACAGTGAAAAGAAACATAAGAAATATTGAGAAAATTCTTGTTAGAATTATTAATTTCACTTATTTAACAACATATGTTTACAAGACTCCATAATATATATATATATATATATATATATATATATATATATATATATATATATATATATATATATATATATATATATATATATATATATAATATATATATATATATATACATTGGTGTATACTGACAGCAGGTTTTCTTTCAAACATGTTTCATTGAATATGACCGCATATTCTGTATTTATTATTTTCTGCTGTCTAGGTGTCTTAAAAAGACACCTAGAGAGAGAGTCAGTACTCCGATTTACACATGAAAATAGTGAAAATAACAGTCTGCCATTCTTGGATGTACTAATAACAAAAACAGGAACCTCTTTAAGCACCAACGTATATACCAAGCCCACCAACATAGGATTATGCCTGAACGGTAGAAGTGAGTGCCCCCAAAGATACAAAGCCAGTGTTCTCAATGCTTATATTCGTAGAGCGCTTACCCACTGCTCTGAATGGAGCAACGTGAGTAGAGAGTTTGAAAGAGTAACTCAGGTATTGGTGAACAACGGATATAGCAACGCGGAAATAAACGCTGCTATAAGAAGACACTTGGACCGTTGGTATAATTCAGAACCTAGAACAGAAACCACAACACCCCCAATAAAATTATATTACAAATCAACCATGCACAGTGAACATATAAAAGAGGAAAGAATAATGAAAAAAATAATCCGTAAAGGAGTAAAAAGCACTACTCCTAACCAAAACATAAACCTGATAATATTCTACAAAACCAAGAAGACTTCCGAACTCCTTATCAAAAACAGCCCGAAGCCGACGGAGAACCCTCTACAGCAGTCAAGCGTTGTATACATGTACACTTGCCCCCACGAAGGATGTAACCTTCAATGTAAGTACATAGGTATGACGTCGACCAAGCTGACGAGGCGTTTGACATGCCATCTTCAATCTGGTGCCCCTAGGAATCACATGAGACAAGCCCATGACATTACTCTAACAAGAGAAATGTTGAACAAGAATACTTGCATAATAGACAAAACCCAAGATTCAAGAAGATTACAAATTCTTGAGGCAATTCACATAAGAATAGAGCGACCTACCATGAACACCCAAATCACGGAACTATTTACTCTACCCACCATGAGAGTAAGGACAAGACAAGAACATATCGATGCCAACACAGAAGACAATGTCCAACATAACAGGCCAATTACACTGGATTAATCTTTGAGTTTAGATAGGAGATGCCTCGTATGGGCCAATAAGCCTTCTGCAGCCCCTATGTTTATCCCTTATGTATCCCCCCATGTTTTCACCTTCATTGTATTATCACCTGACTAAATGCGGGTATAAAATCAACTAGTATTGTAAGATCTGTTCACTTGAGAATGAACCATGGAGGTTCGAAACGTCGTGCAAATTATACAAATAAGTGTAATACACTCTATAGTAAATCACTTCTTTTCTTCACCTTAAAAGTACGAAAATGAGTTTTGGAGAACTATTTCAATTAAGCCCTGATGCTAAGAAAATAGTTAGAGGGATAGAAGCCCTAAACCAGAAAATAATAAATACAGAATATGCGGTCATATTCAATGAAACATGTTTGAAAGAAAACCTGCTGCCAGTATACACCAATATATATATATATATATATATATATATATATATATATATATATATATATATATATATATATATATATATATATATATATATATATATATATATATGTATATATATATATATATATATATATATATATATATATATATATATATATATATATATATATATATATATATATATATATATATATATATATATATATATATATATATATATGGCAGAAGATGATGAAGATATAATTTATCTTCACCCTTCTGAAGATGTATTATTAAATACGAAAGCACTTAAGGAAATTCCTGTTTCAATTCTTCCATCGTGGTCTGACACTGTCACATTTTTCATCACGTGTTGTTGATGAAGGGAGTACCACCTCTGGCTGAAAGAAAGTGACCCTTAACCTCGGAGAGGAGCACACATTAGTGGGGATTTTTAGGTCCCCCTCCAATATAGTTTCTATGTTCTTTTGTCCTACCACCACCTTCCTTATATGTTCTGTTGTGCTTTATTAGATATTTAAAGGTTATAAAATGTACATTGTTTATTACAATAAGTGTTTAAAGGTTATGGATCTTTTCGAGCTCCTCCGCTTCCGGACAGGAACCGAGGACGCAGCAGGTGTATTCCCTTTGGATCGCCACACTGAGGCGCTGAAACAAAAAGCTGGCAGCCCTTGGCTCTCTGGTGATGACAATGAGCCTGGAACCCAACTCTTTGAGAAATCCCAAGGCACTTCTTTCCCAGGGGCCGAGCGTCTCAGACACTATGGGAACAAAGGTGTATTGACCTTCCAATCACCTGTACTTGACCGATTATGCTAATTCCCTGTGATTGGCCGCCCCTCCTGCTTGATCAGCACCAAATTGTATGTAGGTGTCAGCCATGGTGGATACACATGTATAGTCCTACACCAGCTGTTTGCCTCTTTTCCAGGGGTATAATGTGATCCCATCTGGGCGAAGTGTGGAGTCATCCGGGTTTTGGTCTCCTAGTATGTGAGGTTCTCTCTCCACTGGGCACTGAGCTGAGACAAGGCTCCTTTTGATGATGTCATTGACCTCGTTGTGTCTTGCATGCCAGCCCTTGGATTTTCCACAGTGCAACCTATGCAGTCCATATTGGTCTGCTTCCACCCTGTTGGAAATACACTTGTATTCAGTGTGAATTTGGGCCCCAAGGGTACTGTCAGAGGGACATCCCCTGCATGGGGGAAAATCACTGCTCTGAAATGGGCTTTCTCCTTATTTGCTGTTGCAGCTCTGAACATGGCGTCAGCTATTTTTTCCACTAGTGGGTGTTCCAAGCTCGACTATTTGTGTTTTTTTGTTGGATTTGCTGGGGCTGCAAGAGCCATTGATTCGAACATTCAGTGAAAGCAGGATTATGTATCCGGATGAATCACTCACGGATCCGGGTAGGATATCTCTTACGAGGTCGTACGGTGCCTGGGAGGAAGAAAGGAAGTGTGGTAGAGCAATATGGGAGGCTGTGCAGACACAGTGGCCGCCTTGATTTACAGGGAGGGTTGCTTACTCCTATTGAGAGTCGTCCAGTGGAAGGTTCAGGACTTTATCCAGCATGGTCCTCAAAAGGATGGCATTCTCATTTAATTTATGGCTGATGTAGGATGGAAAATACAGAACGCAAGTTATCACAGCAGAGCGCGGTCTCTGGCAAAGGGAAACAAACAAAACAAGGACCCGAAACCTGTCGTTACTATAAATGGGGTACCTGTAAACACGAGATATCGGCAAGAACAAATGGAATACTTAAGTACGATCACCCTAGAAAGTGCAGAATCCTTCTTAGTACAGGTAAATGCACCGAAAGCTGTGATTTTTGTTAACCCAGAACTTTGCAAAAACTCCTTAGATAGGAAAGAATGTTTTAACACGAAATGTCCAGCTTTTCATATAAAAGTACCAGGCGAATAAAACCGACAGACCGCCACTATGAAAACAGCCACAACTCTATTGACCAGGATTATTTTTAGCAAGAGGAGGAGGAGAAGAATGGCTAAAAATGTCTAGATTCTACCACCAACTCGGTCAAATGCTAGAGAGGACACAAACATAGTGGCCTCCCTACCATGGCCTCAGATATTAACAGCAAGTAAAGCATCCAGCACTTCCACAAACATGATAACATCATTTCTAGGTCTCCCTGGAGGTGGCCTCCCTGCCACCTTCGTGAGGTTAGATATTATTTTACACATGGGGGCACGAACACTAGGGGACATAGGAGGAAATTAAGGGCCCAAATGAGCCACAAGACAATAGAAAGAACTTTTTTAGTGTCAGAGTAGTTAACAGATGGAATGTATTAAGCAGTGATGTGGTGGAGGCTGACTCCATACACAGTATCAAATGTAGATATGATAGAACCCAGTAGGCTCAGGAATCTGTACACCAGTTGATTGTCAGTTGAGAGGCGGAACCAAAGAGTCAAAGCTCAACCACCGCAAGCACAACTAGGTGAGTACACAACCTGTTTACCATTCCTTTATGTTTTTTTTTTTTTTGCAGCGTAACCCCATCTGGGCACTTGTGACTGTTGTCTGGTCTGCACATTTGGGGTTCCCTTTGTGATGGACGTTTGACTGTAGCCAAACTTCCCTTGAATGTTATAGGCTTAAATTGCTCAAGTTTAGATTACTAACATTAAAATTTTACGTTTTTGCAGCTAACATAGGCGGTCTGCTGGGCCTCTTCCTGGGCTTTAGTCTGCTTAGTGCCGCCGAAATAGTCTTCTACACGTCCAAGATGGTGGAAAGAGTGTGTTCTTATATGGGGCCCAGGAATCCCTCGCAGGTCCAGCCGCGTGTGTGATGTGCTGGTAGTGGACGGCTCGTGACTTCATTACGCCTTAAAACCATATCTTCAGGCGCTGAATATCACTGACGACTCAGGCTCCCCTCTTCTGTGTTCAACATCCTCTCACACTACTGGAATACAGAGGAAAAGACGAGGAAAAGCAAAGTTAATTGAAACAAAGAATTTAAACTTTGGACGGAAATATTTGGTCCAGAATCAATCCTAGAAAATGTAATTTGCAGCTGAAAAAAGAATAGTTTTATACAGATTTAAAAGGACCTGAACTCATGTTGAAGCAACGGTATTATGGGTATTTCAGACTAAATATGTCAAGCATTTTTATATAATATAAGACACAAGCTTACCGGCCGCTATCTGTGGTGTGTTGTGCGTTATTAATTTAATGCCTTGGGTGGTCTTGATTGATTGTTACCTCCAGTAGTGGAGTGTTGTTTATTGTGCACCCCATACTCATGTGTGTGTGTTGCTGTTTATTGTGCACCCCATACTCATGTGTGTGTGTTGCTGTTTATTGTGCACCCCATACTCATGTGTGTGTGTTGCTGTTTATTGTGCACCATATACTCATCGTGTGAGTGGTAGTTTATTGTGCCCCTCCCCTCCCTGTCCAGCACGTTGTTGCCATGGAGGGGCTTGGTGGCCGGCTGGCAGAGTGTGATGCTCCTTAAGGCGGTCCCCTGTCTTTTTGTAGCCTTGTGCTCCTGCTGCTGTCCTCACAAATTTTGCTGGACGCCTTTTCCTTTTGTTTCGTTTTTCTCCTGCCCTCTTCTCCTTTCTCGTTTTCATTTCCTGCTGACCTTGTGCCTGTTTTGATCATTCTTTTGGCCTTCTTTTGTTTTGACGCCCAGGTGTTTCAGGAGGACCCTTGCACCCGTAGAACTGTAGTACCCAACGTCGAGAGCGAGGGGATTTATTGTCAATCCCCCTTTCGTCACTGAACACCATCTCGACGGACTGACGGTTCTTAAGGTGGCGTTTGTCGGGCATATACTCACGACGCACCCCTAGGGGGCCCCGGCATGATCGGCGATAGCTTCTTGGTGGGTGTCCTGCCTCTAATTGTGGCTCCATGGTGGGTATGGGGGCACATTCGTGAATGAAAATGTCTCTCTTCGTCTTTATGTCATTGAATGTTTCTCTTGTACCCTCTCAGGCTCGTGGGGTGGGCGACCAAGCCCCCGAGTCGCTCTGTACTGGAAGACCAGGCTCTGTAGCCCCCGCTGCGTTGGGCCCCGACCTTGCTCCTCCTTTGACCCTCCTGACTTCTTCCCTCGGCTCCCCTCCCTCTTCTGTGGTTGGGTCAAGCCACAAGCCCCCAGTGGTGACCACTTCGTCCCCTGGCGCGGCTGAGTCTCTCGTTGTGACTACTGCGCCTTTTAACCCCTCTCGGGGAGCCGGTCGGCCGAGCGGACAGCACGCGGGATTTGTGATCCTGTGGTCCTGGGTTCGATCCCAGGCGCCGGCGAGAAACACTGGGCAGAGTTTCTTTCATCCTATGCCCCTGTTACCTAGCAGTAAAATAGGTACCTGGGTGTTAGTCAGCTGTCACGGGCTGCTTCCTGGGGGTGGAGGCCTGGTCGAGGACCGGGCCGCGGGGACTCTAAAGCCCCGAAATCATTTCAAGATAACCTCTCTTTCTGGGGGTTCTCAACGCCGTCCGCGCACTTGCTCGATTCCTTTCCGTACTGATGCGTATCAGGCCTTGTTTGGTCCCGCTTCGTGGGCCAAATACTTTAATCTCCTCCCTCTGGATTCTACGCGTCCTGGCGATTTCTCCCTCCATCGGCATCTTGTTGATTCCGTAGATGCGTCTGTTACCTTCAACCCCACTCGTCTCAGTACACGTGTCATTGGTACTTCTTCTCAGGATGCAGCTTCCCGCTTGGCTGCCTTATCCTGCCTTGGCGCGACCCCTGTTCGGGTGTCAAAGAACGCTCGGTTGAATACCAGTGTTGGCACTATTCTCCTCCCGCCCCATGTTGCAACCGGTGTTCGGAATCTGCAGGACAGCCACGATGATATTCAGCATATCCTCGATACCCAAGGCCATTTTGTCCTCCAGATAGAAACGTTTACTCGTCCCCTTCGTGATCGTCGCCGTCACCCGCTTCGGGTTTCCTACCTTTGATGGTAGGACCCTTCCCCCCTCTGTCATTCTTGCTGGTGCCAGGTGCTCTGTCCAGGAGTACATTCCCTCTTCTTGGCTCTGTAATAAGTGCTGGAGGTTTGGGCATGGTGCCCTCCACTGCTCTGGGACTGTCTCTCAAAGTCCTTTGTGTGGGGGCGAAGGTCACTCTAAGTCGGAGTGCACTTCTCCCCAAGCTCACTGCCTCAACTGCGGTGAGGCCCATCCTACCTTCTCCCGTGCGTGTATTCATTACAAGCTTGAGGCAGCCGTCCTCAACTTGAAGCACCGGGAGCGTTTATCTTTTACTGAGGCGAGGCGCCAGGTTTGCCGGCTCCCAACTTATGGTAACGTCTCTTATGCTCGCGTGTTGCGCTCTTCCTCTCCTCGTCCTTCCCACCATCCTCAGACTCAAAACCGTTTCCGGGCCTTGGACCCTGATACACCCACCGCCCCCTCCTCTGTTCCTTTGAGTTCTGTCACGAAGGGTCCCCCTCCTGAGGTTCCCCTTCTTTCTGCCCGATCTGTCATGTCTCCTGTGTCTTCTTCCTCGTCTTCCTCCGATCCTCCTTCTCTGTCTATTGGCTCTCCACGCCACCTGTCGGTACAGGCTGATGTCCATTGCACTCCCACCAGCCGTCGTATGTGCTCTCGTTCAGCTTATCCTGTTGAGACGTGGGAATCCGTTGCCCAGTACGTGGTGTCTGGGACAACTGTCTCTTTGCGTCAGAAGCATAAGCCTGGCTCCTCTCCTTCCTCCTCCCCGGTGGGTAAAATGGCTTCACTTTCTTCCTCGCCCCCTACTTCTGACTCTCTCACTCCGCCCCCTCCCGTTTCGGTGGTTATGCCCCCTGTTTCTGTTATGGAGGTCTCTTTTGCCCCTGCTTCCCTCTCGGTTGGTGCCCTTGCTGAGGTGCGTCCCCTGGTTTCTGCCCCTCCTGCTGCTGTCCTTGACCCTCGGTTATTCCCTTCTTCCTCCTCCGGACCCTACTCATCCGCCCCTGGTCAGTCCTCTAGCTACCTTCCCCCCCTTCTTTACTCAGTTTACCCATGCCCCCTAACCCTGACTTCGCTGACCCTGATCCTGCGCCTCTTTAACGTGCTGTGTTCCCTTTTCTCCTTTGTTTCTTCGTTGTTCTCTGTTGCTGTCCTTCCTCTTCTCGTCGATGTCTATTCTTCAATGGAACGTTCGAGGTTATTTCGCCAATTTCCTTGAACTCCAGCTTCTGATTTTGCAATTTTCGCCCCTTTGTGTCTGTTTCCAGGAGCCGATGCTTGGTGCTCGTCCTGGTTGCTTTCGTGGCTATTCCTTTCTCTCCCCCCCCCCCCACAGCTGTTGCTGGGGCTTCTAACTCTTCTGCTCTCTTGATTCGCTCCGATGTTCCCTTTGTCCCCTTACTTTTTCCTTCGCCTCTCCATTGTTCTGCTGCTCGTATCTTTGTGAGGAAATGGTACACCGTTTGTTCCATTTATCTCCCCCACCCCCGAGTGCTGGGGTGGGGGAGATAAATGGAACAAACGGTGTACCATTTCCTCACAAAGATACGAGCAGCAGAACAATGGAGAGGCGAAGGAAAAAGTAAGGGGACAAATGGAACATCGGAGCGAATCAAGAGCTGGCCCTCTGCGGTTCTTGGGCCTCGTAGCCTAGTGGAGGGCCTCGTAGCCTGGTGGATAGCGCGCAGGACTCGTAATTCTGTGGCGCGGGTTCGATTCCCGCACGAGGCAGAAACACATGGGCAAAGTTTCTTTCACCCTGAATGCCCCTGTTACCTAGCAGTAAATAGGTACCTGGGAGTTAGTCAGCTGTCACGGGCTGCTTCCCGTGACAGCTGCCTGGTCGAGGACCGGGCCGCGGGGACACTAAAGCCCCGAAATCATCTCAAGATAACCTCAAGATAAGAGTGTCCCAAGTTCTCTTCCCGATCTGAAACACCTCCTGGACTCCTTGCCGGAGCCTGTGCTCCTGCTGGGTGATTTCAATTCTCGTCATTCCCTTTAGGGAGATGTTCTGATGAACACCCGGGGTCGCCTTCTTGAACCGTTCATCCTCTCTTCTTCCCTGTCTCTTCTGAATTCTAGTGAGCCCACGTATTTAGACTCTCGGACTCGCACCCTTTCCTGTCTTGATCTTTCTCTTTGCTCGTCTTCTCTTTACTTGGATTTCACGTGGCAGGTTCTTGATGACCTCCATGGCAGTGACCATTTCCTCATCGTTGTTACCTTTTTCTCTTATCACCCTCCCCTCTCCTTCCCTAGATGGGAGTTTGCTAAGGCAGACTGGAACCTATTTACCCTCAGTGCTACTCTCTCTGACCTCACCCTCGCTCCCTCCTCTTTTTTTATGACACCGTCTTCGACGTTGCCCTTCGCTTTATTTCTCGCTCTTCCTCTCGGGGCCCAGCACGGAAGTGCGTTCCCTGGTGGAATACGGACTGTGCTTGGGCTGACCGCTGTAAGCGTGCAGCCTGGAAGAGACACCGCCGCCGGCAGACTGCCGATTGTTTTCTTTTATTTCGGAAGGCGAGTGCGGTGGCCCATAAGGCCATCCATATTGCTAAACGTGAATGTTGGGCATCTTATGTCTCCACCATTACGTCCGACACTCCTCTGCTGCAGATTTGGAAGTGTATCCACAAATTAGCGGGTAAGTTCGTTCCTGATGTCTCACCGGTCCTTCACCTCCGTGGTACTCTTGTGGGGACCCATTGCAGGTCGCTACAGAACTGGGTTCCCACTTTTCTTCTGTTAGCTCTGGTTTTCATCTTCCCCAATCTTTCCTTCTTCGTAAACCTGTCCTTGAATTTTGTCCTTTGGATTTCTATACTCATCTTCGCCTTCCCTATAACGACCCCTTCTCTCTCTCTGA